TAATTTGGTTTTGTCTCAAATCAGGACAAAAAGTCTAAATCTCTGAATGTTCATATCACAAAATATTCTGAGATATTTCATTTCAACCTTATTGAACCCTTTAGTTTTGATAAGATCGAAATTTTTTTTGACTTCATCATTTCAACTATATGCTAGTATATTATTGTCAAAATGAAGCATTTTGATGATTTCCTACTGGATTTTTTGGTGAAATTGATACATTCTAGTGAAATGGTTCAGATTTTGTTGAATCATCATTTTCCAATGGAAAACCATAGCATCAGAAAATTTTTGACCAGCTCTACCGATGAGGCTGTTGCATAAAGGATGGGTGATCAGTGATCAGGCCTAACCCCTTGCAGCATAGGAAATAGCCCTGGCATCCTTAGGCAGCCTGGACATAGTATACAAGTGGGAAGGTGTGAGAGTTAGCCTTCCCTAACTCTATGAACCCTTAATAATGGTGCAACCTATTTGTCTCCATTTCATCTGCTATATGTATTGAAAGGACTCTGAGAAACATCTGCTGTGAAGTCAGTTACACAGTTCTCTCAACAAAAAAGGTCTTCAAAATCAGTGGAGTTGCTCTGGATTTACATCAGTATACCTGAGATCAGAATCTGCCCCAGTATACAGACACTATTCACATTACAGCTGGTTGGAAGTTTTCTGACAGAATGTTTTTCCATCAGAAAATGCTGATTCACTGGAAGCAAAACGTTCCGGGGAAACGTGTGGATTTTAATGAAATTATGTTTTAAAATAATGGGATGGAGCATTCTGATGATGGCAAAATGTTCCATTTTGAGAATGCAACATTTTAATTTCCTGGTTTGAAACAACATTTTGTTTTGATATTACATTATGTGTAATGTAAAAAAGCAAAATCAGAAGGAAATATTTCATTTTTATCAAAATGAAACATTTTCATTCACCTGAAATTAATGTTTTTAAATGTTCATTTAATGGGAAATTTCACATTTTGGGGGGTTTGTTCCATTTTGGAATGGGAAGAACTGAAATCACGGAATTTTCTGTGAAACCGAAAATCCAGTTCCTGCCCCGCTCTAATTCAGACACAAGCATCTTTACTATTTCCAGTAACTGACTTTGAAGATATCAATAAATACCAGAGAGCAAAACACAGCAAGGCGGACAGAAGAATTACATTTTAAAACAGTTGTTTTTCTTAAGAAATTGGTTATAATAAGAAGTTGGAATCCATTAAAAATCTTATTAAAAATTGGCACTAGACTTCTAAATCAGTTTAACTGATACATGTTAGTTTTAATTTTAAAACAAATCTCATCTGCCTAGATAACTTGTAAACAAAGCTTCAAAGGCAATATGACAGAAAACAGACAATTTACACTGAGGCTCACTAAGCACAAATGTTGCACAGAGATTGTAATTGTTCATAGAAGTATTCTGTTAAAAGCCAAAGTCCCTGCATAGTGACCTCAGTAAGACTTATCATCATGCAAAGGAAAATGGGCTCCTTAGGGATCCCTGAGCTATATGGATCTGATCCTGTAAATTCTTGGTCAAAGCTGTCCATTGACATCCAATGAGAGTTTTACCTGAGTAATGAGTGTAGTATCCTATTCATATTGTTACATTATATCTATAACAGTATCTTTAATACCAAACTACTAGGGTCTTCACCAAATTATTTATCGATAAACCCTAATTCTGCACACACTTGCACACAGGCTTTACTTTACACACATGCACAGATTACGTACACAGTTAAAGTGCAAATGTCTTTGCAGCTTTTTGGAGACATACGTGTAAAAATTAGGGATTTTACATTAGCATTCATACCCTAAGCTCTTGCAAAAAAATCTATTTCCAACTGAAACTTTATATTTACTGGTGTGATATTCCCTAATTTTGGTGGGAGGACTTGACTGATTAAGAGTTTGAGGGATCGAGCCCTGAGCTCTGTTTCCAATCACTGCAGTGTGAAAAGGTGAAACTTTTTACAACTAAATTCAAATATCAAAGGTGAATTTACATGAAAAAGACACACCTTCTCCCCCTTGCAAGGAGATCCAACTGTGATGGAATCCAATGTATAATACCTGTAAGATTAATATTTTAATCTGAAAAGATACAGCAACTAATGAACACAGTAACCATAACCTATCCTTCAGCCAATGCCGACAGCCAGAAATGCACCAGTGACTGTATGAGATTCCAGCCTACAGTATTTATTTAACCGGGGACAATTGTGCTCCCATTTAAATCAGTGGCAAAGCTCCCATTGACTTCAAAGAAGTAAGGCTAGATCAGTGTTAACTTGTTGTTCCATATTCAGCCCAGCCTAAAAAGTAAATTAGAAAGAGGTGATAACATGCATTCTAGTAGATAGATAATCAGCTTGTCTGTCTAGATGCATGCACTACTATATTATTAACCTGATACCATGCCTATTCTATGTGTTTGTGATCATCGAAATGGTTGGAAATGGTGAGGCACATTTAATCTGAAAATACTGCTTAGTAGCATGTCATTTAATTTAATTTAATGTCCTGAGGGCATTTACACTATGGAGAGTAATTGTTAAGATATACTCATTATTTCAATCTATTAAAGGCCTGATGGTCTTTAATGGGAGTTGGGTCTGGTCCTAAATTGAGATCGTAGGCATTTTATCCTTGAGCACAGGCTATTCATTCCCCTGAATCAGAATTGCAAGATCAGCCCCTCCACTGAACACACAAATAGCTAGTGTCCAACAGGCAATGCCTTTGTTTTGGTCAAGGTTTTCACAAGGACAGGCACATGCCACACCACTAGTAACTCCCCAGTTGCATTTTTCAGCTGGCTAATTTAAACATCCCTCAGCCACAAGCTGTCAAAGTGGTTCCTGACTTTGTACGGGGCCCACGCATCCGGTAAACACTCTACTGCCCATGTTTTTACGGTGCTCGCTTGAAAAAAGGCTCCTCTCAGTTCACACCGCAGTAGCCATGATTTCTGACCAGCCTCTTCGCAGAGCCACGCTCAAACAACACACCCACTGACTTCAGCACTGTGGAAGCATCACAGGAAGGTAGGAGCTGGTGACCTGCGTGAAGGGCAGAACTCAAACCTCTTTCTTGGGGAGCCTACATGGGAAAACTTTTCTGCAAACCCAGAAATGCACACAAGGAGCTTTGGACCGGTGATATGCACACTTAGAGCTCTATGCACAGAACCAGGCCTTTCCTGTTTGAGAGCAATATTAAAAATATCCTCAGCGTTCATACATGTTTGTAATTGATCAGCCTGTATCCACCAATGAGTCTGGAACTGTGAATTCCTGCATTCAATAACAAGCAAGTTAAGTAACTAGGAGGGTCCTAATAGATCTCTGCCTGTCATTGGAAGGGGTCCTTATACACTGGAGGCAGAAAACCACAGCTACTCATCTTAGCATTTAAATGTAAATACAGTCCCATGACATTGAGCCTTTATTCCCATTAATATCTATTTTTTTATTCTCTAGCTAACCTGGCTGTATTTTCCTTTGGTAGATTCTTAGTTGTCTACTCCTTACCTCTAAGAGAGCAATGCATACATGTGCCCGCATGTATTTATCCCAATAAAATACACTCAAAGTGATCAAAAACCCAACAGAGGGTCAATCAGACACTCTATAGATCATTTTAATCTATCTTTGGTAGCCTTCCAAAATATGGTGTGTGTTTTTTTGCTAGGCATTATAGCAGAAAATTTCAGGGGCCTCAAGAGGCAAAACTTTGGAAAGATAATTTTATTATTGACATGAAAAGCAAATTCACTTCTTCTGCACTATAAACACACAATATTCTCTCGCACACAATATTGTTTTAACTGGCCACTGTACACTAGAATCCCAACTAAGCTCAGGGCTTTTTCTTTTCTTTTTAAAGAACAATGTCAAAATATGTCAAACGAACATTGAATAACTTCCCCTGAATTTAAACACAGACTTTTTGTTGATAGAGGGGATAAAAAATATTTAGAGAAAGGCCAGTTCCCGGGTAATGATAAGGTGGTCATATTAAAAACAAAACAAAAAAAGACATGACATAGTTTGCTTCTCTCTTTAGATTCTGTTTTATACAGCCCCAAACATTAAAGATTTCCCCCGGACTGGCAAGAAACCCTGTCATTTGTTTGAAATACGAGGCAAGTGGACTGAGAGAGGAAAGAGGACAAGACAACCCGCGCTTATCAATGTGAATTTCATCCTACCTTGCAAAACGAAAGCACCCAACTGCTCTCAGCTCTAGATTTCGATTAAGGGGTGACACCTCTGTATTCCAGTGTCAAAGACTATGTTTGTAAAAATCAAGCCACTGGATTTCTCTTTGTGGGAACGACTGAGGGGAGAGCATGTCACTCTATTCAGATTCGATAAATCATCTGCCCGAGGAAACATACAAATATGTAAACCTTTGGTTTCTTAGCCCTATCGCTTTCTCTCCTTTCAAATCAGTCCCGTAGGACTACCACCAGTGCTGCAGTAGCTGTGTAAATAGCTAGTTAGTTTCCTTGCAAACTTGCACAGAAGTCTCCGTTTGTAACCAGCTGGTGTCATTTCATCCTTCCACCTTTACCTGCTGAACAGGTCAGGCTGGGCGGGTGGGGTGGGCGCGCTGTTTTTACACCAGCGAATAATAGCTAACGACTCATGAACAATGATTATCATCGTCATCATCATGCGTGACCGACAGCCAGCGACCGACGGCACAAATATGGCTGGGATGATTGCTTAGCACTCACGAGTTCACTTCTCAGCTGGATTCCTCAGAGCTGCAACATTTCAGGGGCCAGACCTTTAATTCTCCAAGCCCCAGAAGAAAGCTCCGAGGCACCTCACTCGCCTCTCCCCCCCCCCCCCCCGCCCCGGAGCGCACAAACCACCCCCTCTAGCCAGAGCCTGGCGCCGGCACAGATCCCCCACTTCCCTAGCGCGCTGCGGGAGAGAGGGGGAAAGAGATGGGCGGTTTGGGGGCTGCCAGCCTTACCAGCCTCTTCTGTGGCTTGATGAGCGGTCGGTTGATGCCATTCATTTTGTGATAGAGACCGCAGGCGTTGCACAGATAGTGCCCGGTGCCATCCTTTCTCCAGAGCGGGGTGGACATCGCCCCGCAGTTCACACACTCTCGGCCATCCCCGGGGAATTCTTCCAAGTACTCTGAAACTGACCCAAACGCAGCTGGTTAGGCGCTCGCTCCCTTCCCCGGACAAGGTCACTTCCCCCCGGGGATCCCAAGCGACCCGGGCTAGGCAGAGCCAGCGCGCCTGTCCTCAAAGGAACCCAGTTTTGTCTTAAGAGAAACAAAAGGCAAAACGGCATTCCCTAGCCCTTTAAGCACCGATTGCTCTGGGGGACGCTGTGGGAGAGCATTTGGCTGCTGCGCATTCAGGTGCCACTGAAATTTACCTTTAACTGCCTCTCTCTCCCCCCCCCCCCGGGCTACTTTCCTAAATACGATTCTTTGCAAGAGCAAACAGCCCCGGGACACCAAGTGTCAGACACACCGGGGCGTCCGGCTTCTCTTCGGCCAAAGAATCTGCAGAACTTTTCTCCAGCCTTGAGGCTTTTGTCAGCCATCTCCTGGCTCCAGCAAAGGATCGTGCTGTGTGTCTCTGGCTTACCAGGATCCGGCCAGCTTGTTTTCCCTAAACGGCAAATAGTTGTAACATCACTACTGAAAATACCACACCAGTGCGCCACGGATACCGTGATTCGGGAAGAAACTCCGCTGGAAGAAGGGACACGGCCCTGTGTGGTGTGGGGCGAGGGAATCACTACATGGGAACAAGTATCAGAGGGGTAGCCGGCATGGGAAGTGACTGAGAGCGATGGTAAATAAGGATCAGAAATAAGATGTTATGGGAAGATCCCTCCCTAACAGGACTCCCACTGGAGTCACTGACAGTTTTGCCCACCTCCAGATCGCAGGTGAAAACACCACGCGTGAAATCCTGGCCTCGTGGAAGTCAAAGGGAGTTTTGCTACTGACTTCAATGATTTCTCGTCACCGCACTGCATTGGATTGCCCCAGTATGAAATAAATCATAGGCGGAAATAGCTGAGGGCCCTGTCCCAGGGCTATGAAGAGGGGAGTTCTGCTTAAGCAGAGATGGCAGCAGATAGCCCGGTCGGTTTGCCCATCCCGTCAATCAGCCGGTCTCCCACTTTTCATGCCCTCGAGAAGTGTCAGACCCAGGGGTGTCAGCTGCAAAACTCCCATTGACTCCAGCCGCAGCGGGGTCGAGAGAGAGAGAAAGAAATCCAGGCGAATATGTCAGACCAAGTTCTTTTCTGCCGACTCTCATGGGAGCCTGGATTCTGAAGCAGGACCCTTCCCATCGGCTTCACTGGGCTGAGGATCAAGTTCTCTCCATTGCAAAGCACCAGAAGGGACCTGCTCGCAAGGACCTATTTCAGTTACACCCCATCCCTGCTTTTAGCAGCGCTCTAACCTGTCTCCACGATCTGCTAAGAAGGAGAAAGAAGCCCCCGCCCCCTCCCCTGTTTTCTTTTTTACTTAACCTTTTAATGTATCATTTAATGATTTTTTTAAAAAAATAAATATCCCCGACAAGGGGCGATAATGAAGATTGATTTGATTTCATTTCCCTGCGGACTCCCAGAAACCGCTTCTCATGTGGCTGGAAGCGGGCCGGGTGCAGCCCAGCTCGGTTGTAAAAATAAATGATCGCTATGATGTTATTGTAAGATGATAAAAGGAGGAGGGGGGGAGGGAGGGAACTGGAAGACTTTCCTGATTTCAATCAAATGGTGTTGGTTGCTGACTGGTGGCGACAAGCAGGCTGGGGAAGGCCTGGTGGAATGTCTATGGCTGATGTACAACTTCGGGGGATGCTGGCCTGTGGGTATCAATCACACCTAGAGCTCCGAGCTGACAAATGACAGACTCACAGGGGAAAGGGGGGGGGGGGGTCAGCTTTCTCGAGTCAATCTTACAGCTCCCAGGACCATCGCTGGAGGAGTCTGAAGTTGTGTATGGCTGTAGACACCACACATCTAATTGGATTACATATCCATACTATGTGGCTATAGAACATACAGGTAAAATAAAATGAATATAAACTCAATGTGCTGTGTGTGTACACACGTATATACCCACATACATTCACATCTTTTACACACACACACAAAGATGACATGGGTTTTACACACACACCCATATTTTGCACATGGGTACACATGTATACTTTCCCCTAAGTCCCAAATATTATATATTCATGGGGCACTTAACTAGACATGTCAGAGTGAGATCTGACCCCCTTCTTCCAGAAATCAGAAGGGAAAGTGAAACGTTTTGTTTGCCTGACTGGCTTTGTGTATCTCCCAGCTATGTATTTTTGCTTCAGTTATTTTACAAGCAGGCGATACAGAGCAACCCCTATTATTTCAGTCTTAGTATGAGTTGATTTAAAGCCTCTTCCCCCCCCCCGAAATAACTCCCTCCCTCCCACTCTGGAAGAAGCTGTTCTTCGCGGTTTGAAAATTGCCTGTTTTCTTTCCAAATCAAAATGCACTCCTGGTTTAACCTCCTTTGGACCTATTAAAGAAGCGATCCTTAAAAAAGAAAAAAAGTTTGGACTTATTGTTGTTGTGTTAAGGCGCTTCACACTCGCTCACACGATCTAAGAGCAAAAATAAATAACTAAAAGAGATTCTTGAACACTGCATTTTGGAAGGCCAATAGCATACACAATGCATGGCACAGAGAATGACTTTGCAAGGAATCCACATCTCTCAACAGAAAAGAGGGTGGTTTATAAACTGGGGTGATTTCTATGGGATTAATGTTTGCTTTAGGAGCTTTGAAGAATTACATTCAACTCATCAGGGGATCCAACTAATGCAGTGGGGGAAAAGATTGTACATTACTTTCAAAGGCAAATAAAAACGATTCCCAGAAATCATAAAGAAGCAGCTGTTTAACGTGCAATAAAAGAAAGTGGGACCCGCAATTTGGAAAAGTTCGTAAGAAACATGGAGTGGAGGCATGTTTCCTAGTTTACTTTGTTCTTACTAGAGAGATAAGATAATTCGATTCACCGCAGTAAAGATAATAAGAAGGATGAGATCCTGAAGTGGATTTTAAAGTACTTTTCAAAACATAATCTTAGGAGAAGAATAGACCCATAAGTTATAAACCAGAGCTGGTCCTATTTATTTAGCAGACCGGGAAGGGTCAGGGGGAGGAGGGGGAGAAGCTGGAAAGTTGGCTAGGACCTTGATTTAAAAGGGCTCTCCGTGTGGATAAAAACGAATTGAAGTGGGTTTTATTGTTCAACGGCTGACTAGATTTCACTGTCTCTCCAGAGGCAGCAGATTGATGCAATTGGGGAATTGTTTGGGTGAAGGCGAATTAGGAGACCAAGAGTCTGTTCAAATATAAACTAATTTACCACAATAAATTACTTAAAAGGGAAGGAGCTATAAATCTGCTCTCCTAATTCAAACACAAGGGCAAGTATTGAGGCGAAGGCATAGAGTCGATATTATAGAAAGGAGAGATCATTTGGGGTAAAGGGCAAGGCGTTTAAACTACCTCCATTTTCCTGTCCTCCAGGGAAATCACTCTCCTTTTTAAACGTGTTCTTTCCCCTTCTTGAGATTATATATATATATATACACACACACACACTGGCATTCATGTGGCAACAACCCAGTTCCTGCCTGGAGAGGGGAGGGAACAGCTGATTCCACTACCTGACCCTTCATAGGGTTAAAGACATAGGAGGTCTTTCTAGAGAACCATCTTTTCCTTAAGGTTCACTTCAAACTCAGGGGTCAGATTCTCCAGCCTCATTGCGCCCATTACCTGACTCCCCATTTAGTCCCATTAGCTCCAGCGGGGCAGAGTCAGGAGCTACTTTGATCACAAGAACCGGGCCATGCACGAACACGCTGGGTTCTTTTTTGTCAGTTTTCCGTTTCCATGAGGCTCCTGGCAGCACTTTAGGGAGCGGATCCTGCTGCCCACTGAAGCGTCCATTGGCTCCAGCGGGAGACAGGGTAGGCCCCACTCAAAAAGTGGATTGCCCCCCAAGGAAACGTGCAATGGGTTGGAAAAACAAACCGGCGTGGGTCCAAGCCCTCCCCCCCCCTCAAGCCCCCGTCTTCCTCTGCTAGAGAAGTGGGTGCCTTACAAATCATTTGCATTTTTAAAAATAGTTAAACCTACCCCAGGGCCTCCAGAAGGGAGGGCTCCTGGGAGCCGGGAAGGGGGCGCAGAGGTACCGGGACCCGCGTGCGGCTCAGCCGGGCTGGGCTCTGCGGTGCACCAGGGCCCAGTTGCGGTCACCTACCGAAAGTGGATCTCCTGCCCGGCAAGGCAGCCTGCCTCGTCTGGAGACTGTGCAGGACGCTGCTTTCAAAGTGTCCCGCGGTCCAGGAGGGAGGCATCTCCGGGCTCACGTAGGCAGGGTAGGGGCTGGAGTAGGATCCATTGACCGAGCGCACCAAGGCATTGCCGTACTGCTCCCTGGCCCCGCTGCCCAGGAGCAGCGGGCTCTGGTAGGCTCCCTCCCGGCCGGCGTTGTTGCTGACGGGCGGACTGTGCGAGTAGGGGAAGCCCGAAGACGGATGAGGGCTGCTCGGGTTGAAGGCCGATGCCTCGCCGCCGGTCTGCGCCCAGCCCGGGTGGTTGCCCAGGGGGTGGCTCTGGTGGGCTGTCTCGCAGCCTTGCAGATAAGGCAGGGTCTGCAGCATGGAGGGCACCCGGGTGGTGGGCACGTACACCGGGGAGCTGGCCGACGAGTGCAGGAAATTGCTGGAGTCGTGGGAATAAGCCGATTGCCCATGGTTGGGGGCTAGGGCTAAACTCTGATACATTTTATATCCTCCAAAGTGGGACCAAGGCCCGGGGCAGCCGTGGGTCGGGGAAAGCGGCCGCTCAGTTGGCGCAGAAGTTTTCTGTGGCGTGAGGCTTCAGGATTCCTATGTCCAGGGCTGGGAGTTTGACATGAGAAGCTGGGCTGCTCCCTTGCAGCTGTCTCCAGATGTTCGGGCTCAGGTCAGTAACAGTTCCAGGCACCTGAAACATGAAAGCAGACAGGTATGACTTTTTTTTTAATGGCACAACTATTAGATCATAAAAAAACCAAACCCGTGTTGGTTCGCAGCAGCCTCTTGCACCTGCCCTTCCACACGGACACTGGTGAAGAGGAGGGATGTTTTAACACGTCTTCACGGAAGGAGATCGCAGCTAAACACGACGAAACGAATGAGGATGGGAAGAAGCACCGGGCGAGAATTAAAGGTTTGGATTATTGCCAGATGCAGATCTTTATTTCAGAACTGAGTCCCCTTTTAGTTATTCAGTTTGCCAGTATTATCCATAATAATTCACTCTGCAGAGAAAATTCACTATATTGGGTATTATTATATTGCATAATACAACACACATATCCAACATATCTAATACAAAACATACAATTATATACATATGCACGATCATATACAAGTATAGCACACATACAAATATATCCAAATGCACGATCATATGCAACATATATAATTTATGTGTATTGTGTATATTTCGCATCATATGTATTGAAATATACAGTGTTACTTATATAAAATACTGGCTTTGCAGGTGATAACACATATTCTGGAGTTTGCTTTACAGTATCTATAGAAACGCCACTCAAAGTCCCAGTTACATTTAGGCTAGATACAATAACACAGTATTTTAAACGGGGTACTTCTGTGTTTTAAACAAATGCTCTCAACTTTTGTTAGTACGATTTTTTTTAAAGAATGTCTTCACGAATGTTCTGCTTTCCATGTAAATTTCGCGAAGTTCTCTAATGGGATTTGCTTTTTCTTTACAACACCGATTTGGACAAATAAAAACCCTGCAGTCGTTTTAAACATTTAATATGTTCCTGAAACTGATTCTTGGTTTATTTATTTTTGTGAAGATACATTTTGCAACCGATGAAATAATAGGAATAATCGTTCTATAATGAACACAAAACACAACACATAAAATCAACACTTTTCGAAAAGACTTTCCTGCCATATAAATAACGCCATTTGCGTTTAACCCTGCCAGGAAGAGAGATTCCTGTTCGCTTTCAGCCATCACAGTCTATTCAGGAGCCACAGTAAGAAGTCGCAACACAACCCTACAACTTCCTCGGTGATTTTAAGAAGTCAGCAAATTCGGTGTCTTTTTAAAAACAACTCAGCAATCGTGGCCGCGCTGTAAATAATGGGCCCCGGTGAAAAGATAACGAGCGCGGCTGCTGCACACAGGAGCAACAGAAAGTGTGGCATTAAACCGATCTTTTGGAATGAGAAAGCAAAGCGAAGAATGCGAAGTGTTGTTAATTCCCCCGGCCGGCCTGCTGCGTAGGGGTGGCAGGGAAGGCTCCTTTCCACATCAGGATTTTGCTGCTTCATCGGTAAGCAGCAAAATAATCCTAATCTGGCCCCTCTATAAAAGGACCATCTGAAAATGGGATTTTTTTTTTCCAAATCGGAGACCACGTAAATCACGGAGCAATATCAGTAGCTGCCTTGCAAAGCTAACAGAATCCCATCGGGAAACCTCCCGACTCCCGAGGCATTATCTCCGAGATAAGGGCAGCTGGCAGATAAATTCGCAGAACAGTACTTACAGTGCAGCGGGGAAGGAGCAAAACCGTGCATGGCTGGGTGGGAATTAAGAAGCAGCTGAATCCAAATCCTCGGGGAAATTCCAGCAAAAAGAGGGACTGGCTTGCCCCCCCCCCTTCTCCCCAGTAAAGAATCGGTGACTTTAGCCCCCCTCCCCCCCCGCGCCGCCTTCCCCTTTGAAGGGAGTGGTATCGCTGTGATAGGGTTTGACCCAGCTCCCCTATCGGCTTTAACTGGCTCCTTTCTCTGCTAATCTCGAAGTTAAAGTGGTTCCCTTCGCTTTACAGCAGGGCAATTGTATGGCCCGGATCACGTGACCCCCCCGGCTAGGTAGGCCGTTGTGTTCTCTAAGGATTGGGTGTCTCCCAAAACCAACCTCCAGCGACAAACTTTCCAGGGGAGGGGGAGGCGAGAGACTCCCGGGGAGTGAATCGCCCCTTTAACTCGCAGGGCTGCACAAGGGGCATGTGTTTTAGGTATTTATTTCTTCTTGGAGTCCCTTTTGTCGGCAGGAATTTTGCTGCACTGTTAATGGAATGGGGGGGGGGGGGGAAGAGCGATCCCCTGGCTGAGTCGATTGACTGGCTGGGAGCCATTGGTACGATTAATTAATTAATTCACTTTTTTTTATTTTATTTTATTCGTATTATTTTATTAGTATTTATTAAGAACCGGAACGTTTTAGAAAGCTAGATCCTGCCTTTGCCTAATGCTCCGCGGCGCTCACTACACCTGGGTGTCTCCAAAAGCCATGGGTTTACAGGGCAGTTTGTTTGTTTGTTTGATCTAGCGCTGAATAGAAGGACAAGCCACCTTCTTCCTCACAACCCCCTCGCACACTCACTCACTCACTTTTCAGATCTGAAAAGGAGGGAGCTGTTTTGCTAACATGTATCCGCTCTCAGGCATTCGAGTGAAAATACGCGTGGGGTTTATAGCCAGAAAAGATCGCAGGGTCTGGACATTACTTTGAAACCGGTGTATATCTATGTTGAAGTTTCTGTTTCCCGCAGAAATGCGATCAAACGCGCAAGGTTCCCTGTCCTGGTGCCCTCAGTTTAAAGTGCCAGAGGCGAGATGATTTCCCCTCCCTCACCCCACGTCAAAGCACTTTGGTTTTCAGAGTCACTTTGTATATGATCAAGTCTGAAAACAATCTAAAACTTTCCTACCGAGCTAAGAATTCTTCACTGAAATATAGGAAGCTGTGAAGTGGTTTCTGCCTTAACAACAACTTCTATTTAAAAAAAAAACACAACATAATAAAGAAAAGGGGGGAGCCAGGCTACCAGCTTACAAAATCACTCAAAACAACGGCTGAACTAAAGCTTCACAAGTTCCAGATCCGGATAAAGATGTAGCCATATTTTATTCGCAGCGCCTGTGGGGAGAAGCTGGCAGAGCCGAGATTCTTATAGGGCCCTGGGTCATTCCTAAATTTATTTCTAAAACTTGACAATTTCAATAAAGTACAGAACAAACCGTTCAGTAAACTCTTTACCGAAGACCAGGAGTAACCAAGGACAGAATGTAGCTCTAAATAACAAGCCCTGATTGTTTATTATTATCGTTTTTAGTATGAAATAATTTCGAAAACCAGAATTTTAACATGCGTTTGCTCAGTACTTGAAAACATCCCTCTTCTTCTTAGGGACTTGTGGTTAAAGATGTCGCTGTTTGAAAGAGGTTAAAAGAGCAAGGAGCTATTATTGTAAGGAAAAAAATAAAACAAAATCAGAAACCAGTTTATTGGGAGTGTATTATCAAGTTGGATTTTCAGCCACCTTTTATTTAATACACACAGTTATAAATATTCTAGATTTTCTCTCTTAAGGAACAAGGCTCTTAAATACATATAAATCCAAGTTATAGCTTGTACCTGCTTAACAACATTTTAATTAGTATAGTTATTAATTATTACGGTGAATATTAAAACAGCTCAAAGCTATCACCTGGATTTTGTCCTATAAAGAGACAATGCAGAGTTGATTCGGATCGTATGTAATAAGCAAGGGGTGGCAGGAAATGAAACTTGATTTTATATTCAACATTTTAAGCCCTTTGGCAGAGATTGGTTAAACAGAACCAAGTCCCTTTTCTGTCTCCATCGCTGGGCAGGTTCTCAGCCGGCTTTACCTGAGCGAAACTAACAAAATTAATCTCGGGAGTCATGGGGTCTCTGATTATTTCGACTGCCTTGAAATACCTGTGAAATTCTTTCCCTTCTATGGACAAGGAATTACACCTTAGTTAGCCAAGGCAGCCAGAGCTCATGGTGGGCAACGAGTCCTACCAACGCCATTAGAATCTGTTTGAGACTCTCCCGCCTAACCCCTTTTGCGCAAATTGAAAAAAAAAATCGGAGTTTAATTCCTTATCCCCCACTAGACCCCATTGTTTACTGCTTCCCAACAAACTAGGGACCCGATCTTGCAGTCTCTGCACAGGCAAAACGCCCACTGACTACAGTGGGAAGCCCCACTGCATGCAGGATCGGGCTCCCCCCCTCCCCCCTCCCCGTTTCAATCTGTTCAATTCCTGCATTGGAATTTATTGCTAACATCCTATAATAAAAATTAAATATTAGGCAGCTTTTTAAAAAAATGCGAGTATGAATAACTAGAAAAGAGACACAAATCGACAGCAGGGAAGTAATAAGCCCTGGACGTTATTTCTCCAGTTTGGTTTATTGTGTACTTTTAACTGGGATATTTTATAGTAACAAAAAATATGTTGGAGGCATAAAAAAATCTCCTGTTAAAAATGAATTTGTATAAGAGTGCGAGCTATTTACCACGGAATAATACTGGCGAAACGTGCGTATTTATTTACTTGTTACATTCTAGCTGATTCAGATAAGATTCTGCAGTTTACTACTTATAATATATTCTCAGTACACAGAAAAGCAATTCAAGAAAAAACAACGTATAGAAGATTCAGATCTTTAGCCTGTGTTTCTCATATACACAGCAGTTACGAAAACCCTTTGAAAACACCCTTCCATTAGCCTTTTACGGCAAAACGGTAGAATTCGAAGAGAACTGAAAATATTTCAATGTTCTGATTTTACTATTAAAACTAAAAACATTATTTAATAATATTTTAATTTAAAATCTTTTTGGAAGATTTCTAGGGTAAGCATGATTATAAAATAATATTAAAACATGTTATATATATATTTACTATTATAGTTTATATATATATAAGTT